CCGCCCCCTTGACCTGTCCGTCCTCCCTGGACCGACCTATCTCCTCCTAACTCTCCACCTACACTAACCTTTACTGGCTCCATCCCCGCCTCTTTGACTGGTCTATATCCTCTCCACCTATCTTCTGCTCTATCCATCTTCTATCTGCCTCCCCCTCTCTCCCTATTTATTTCAGAACACCCTTCCCCTCCCCCATTTCTAAGCAGGGTCTAGGCCCGAAACGTCAGTCTTCCTGCTCCTCTGATGCTGCTTGGCCTGCTGTGTTCATCCAGCTCTACATCTTGTTATCTCAGATTCTCCAGCAACTGCAGTTCCTACTATCTCTGCTTCAGTGCTCTGTGAGATTGCCATGTCACATAGGAATGGGGAACGAGGTCAGATGTGCAAACCTATTTCTTACAGGCCCTGATTGTCCACAGGGCAGCTGGGGTTCTGGTGGACATTGCAATGCTGATCCTCTGAAGGCTACTGGCTAGTCAGAGATGGGACTGTCAAAATGACCCTGACATAATGGACCCCAGACACCAGGTACCATATCATCCGTACCATCAGGTTTGAGAGACAGAATGCTGCAGAGCACGACAGCCACTTTGTCTCTGTGCAGACTGTATTTTAACATTAAAACCCATCTCCATTCTATGATGCTTGAAATTTGCAAACCTTTCTGGATGACCAGGTAGAGTGGGTGCTTTATTTAAAAGCAAAACCTCTGGATTTGGTTTCAAATTCTATTTTTCCCTCTTCTGATTTGAATGACTATTTTTCTTTTGTTTCTTTGTCAACTTTTTACATGAATGCATGCATCAAAGGATGTTGGATTTGTGTGTCCATTCTGCTGTCTGTGTGTTTCCCAGTCAGGTTCTGGCTGAAATTTTTTTTGCATGTGTGTCTGTTTGTCTGTCCCCTTTTACTGGTTTGAGAGCTCTGAGGATTATACGATCCTCCTACCAGCCCCCCCCCCCCTCCCTGTTTCTCTCTGAAATGTATTCTGGGTATTGAGATCAGAGACAGGCAGAGAGAGAGAGCCTGAAAGATGGCCGAACCGTGAGTCCTCTTTTACAAGAAGTCTTTATACATATATATATATAAAATATACACACACATTGCATGTTTTTCTCCCCGTGAACTGAAAGCAGCTTAAGAAACCAGCTCCACCAAAAAGATAACAACATCAGATCCAGTAAGTCAGAAAGTGCAATCCAGGACTGTCTCGAAGGTTTGCAAAAAAAAACCCGGGTTCCAACAATTTAAAAAGAGCCGAGAAAAACAACAACTTAAACTGAATTTAATGGATAGAAATTATCCCACTTCTGGATTTGGAGATCCCCTAGGTGCTGGGCAAGGATGGACCTACGACAGATCACCGTCAGGAGTGAAAGCCAGGTAAAAAAAAAATAGCCTCCGTTTAATTTCCACCCCCACCTTCTGTCTCTCTCCCCCCACCTCCCTCCCCAATATAAAGCCGGTGTATCTCGGCTCCAAAGGGAGTCGGAGGGAGTTACTCCTCTCTCCTGCACGTCCATTCGCAACTCGTCGGTTGCAAATATCGGCTACAATTTAGCAAAGTTAGCAAGCGGTACAAAAGCGTTTCCTGCTTTTAAATGTAAAACGCAGTGTACACACACACACACGCACAAAGAGTCGAATTAAGGGCCTTTTAATATGTAACCAGAAAAATCATATATGATGGAGGAGAGAGTTAAATAAGGGAGGGGGGAGGGAACAAAACGAAGGGAATTGCAACAAATGTTCGATACAATGTCGCGCCAGAGAGCGAGTGGAAACTGATCAAAGCCAGCAGAGAAATTGACGCGAAATGCAATGGGGAAAGAATGGGATGTTATTGATAATAGAGCTTGGGGGCCCAGCTTTTCTCCTTAGCCTTTCCCTCTTCCACATTTCCCCTCCCGTCACGATTTTGTGAGCGTCCCGTGCTGAAAATGCAACGATTCCAACCCCCCTCCCTCCCTCCGACACATATACCCTCTCGCGTGCGTGTTTTGTTGCAAAAAAAAATGAATGTAGACATTTCTTTTGCCATTCTCCACGACTAGGCCCCGATGCAATCTCTGTGCTTGAAATGTGAAAGTCCAACCAGCCCACTTTCCCTCCCGCCCGCTTTTCAAAGGGTGCATTTGGAAGTGTACTTTACGCCGTTAACATTTTACGAGGGGATGGGGTAAGGAAATGTAACTTGTAAAATTAAACATTGCAACCTTGCTGGTATATTTTTAAAAAGAAAACCTGATGGGCGAGCATTGGTATCTGAAGAACGATTGCTAAAAGAAATGGGGAGCTGCATTATTTGTAAATCTGAGTTGCTGCCTTTGTTGACATTAACCCCACCCCCTTTTGCGGGGGGGGGGTTTAGGAATCGGGCAGAGGAAGATCCCACACTACTCTTGTAAGTTTCTGATAGAGGTGATAAATTTCAGAAAGGTGCCTGGTATTTATAATTATTCTCTAAGAAAGCCAGGTCAGGTGTGCAAGGTGCTGTGATCAATGCGTTCAGCTAAAGTTGTGGATTGACCTCAGTACCACTGTGGGAAGGGGGTGATGTGGAAGAGGATGGTGTGGGTGAGGAAGGGGCGAGTATTAGGTGGGATTTCTGTCCTCAATCGCTTGTGAAATGTCCCCACAGGGCAGTCAGGTGAGGGGTGAAAGACACACACACCAATTCTTCGTAGGCCGAATAGTCTGTCTATATTAGTGTCCACACTCTGGTGTGAACAACCAAAGATATCATTGTGTTCGAAGCAGCTCAGAGAAAGTTCGCTCAACTCATTTCTTGAATTAAGGCTTATCCTCTGAAGAAGGTTGGACTGGGCCCACGTTCACTGGAGTTTAGGAGAGGTGATCATATTGAAACCCATTAGATCCTGAGGGAGCTGGACTGGACAGATGCTGAGAAGATGTTTCCCCTTCTGAAAGAGACCAGAATGAGGATTTTAGACACAGTTTAAAAATAAGATGTCTCACTTTTGAGACAAAGCTGAGGAGAATCTTTTTACCCTGAGGGTGATTGGTTTCTGGAATTCTTCTCGGCAAGGAGAAACCAGGCGCCGTGGAACCAGGGAGTGGACTGCAGCGATGCAAGGAGGCAGCTCACCATCACCTTCTTAAGGGCAGCTAGTGATGGGTAAGAAATGCCAGTGATGCTCACGTCTCACAGGTGAATACAAAAGGCAGCTAGATCAGGTCGACATGTGGATCAGCCAGGATCTAGCTGAATGATGGATGTGACTCAAGGAGCTGAATGCCTTCTTGTGTAGGTTCACTGATCTGATCTCTGGGATGTAGGGTGAGTGCATTATGTTATATTCACTGGAGTTTTGAGGAATGAGAGGTGATTCTATTGAAACATTGAATATTCTGATAGGATAGCTGTAGAGAATAGAACAGAATCCCTACTGAGTGGAGGCAGGCCATTCAATCCATCAAGCCCACACCAACCCTCCAACTAGCATCCCACCCAGATTCACCTCCTTACCCCTATCCTTGTAACCCTGTGTTTCCCATGGCTAACCCACCTAGCCTGCACATCCTGGACACTGTGGGTAATTTAGCACGGCCAATCAACCTTAACCTGCACACCTTTGGACTGTGAGAGGAAACCGGAGCACCCAGAGGAAACCCACACAGACACGGGGAGACCTGGGCCCCCGGTGCTGTGAGGCAGCAATGCTAACCACTGAAACATGGAGAAGTCTGGAACAGGGGTAGCAGGGGGAGAAGACAACAGCCTTCAATCAACCACCCGCGCCCCCCCCACTTTTTGGATAGACATGGGCTTAATTAATCACTTTATGAAATTGCCTGTCTCAGAAATGTTGTAAATGTCCCATGTTCAGGAAACCATGTCCTTTCACCAAAAGTTAATCTGTGATGGTGCAGTTAGGTTGCATGCAGAATAAGGTACCGGGTACCAGCCAACTGTGTTTGTGGTTGTTCAGCAATAGAGGGCTTTAGGTCTCCTTTGTGAGCCAGGACCTCTGGATTCTATGACAGCATCTCCCAAGATGTGACTCCCTCTGCTTAGAAGTTAGTGGTTCACCTAGGGAACATAGCAATGCCATCATCTGCAAGTTTTCTTCTAATTCTGAGAACATCATGAGCGAGATGAATCTCATCAAAAATGGTGGAGAATGGGCAATGTATAAAATCCCCTCAACTCAAGTTGTTTTCATTTGAATACTCTGTATCCAAATGGGACGGTAAATGTAAATGTTACATAATTACCCATAATATGCTCAATAAGTTGTAGAATCGTAGAGTCATACAGCATGCAAGCAGGCCCTTTGGCCCAACTCGTCCATGCTGACGAGATTTCCAAAACTGGACTGGTCCTTTTTGCCTGCGTTTGGCCCATATTCCTCTCAACTTTTCCCATTCATGTACCTATCCAAATATCTTTTAAATATTTTGCTAGTGATTTTTTTTTGTAGGGGACTGTGGGATGAGGCATATTTTCTCAGCACACATTGTAGCCCCTCTCACTATTAACTGTTGTTACAGAAGGTGCACTGTCTTGTCGGAGGACTGACTTTTGGATGAGATGGATAAAAATTGTTAATTGATAATAAGACTACCCTAAGAGCAGGTCTGGATGCATTAATTAAAAACATTGTTTAAACAAAGTGCTCATGAATTCTAACAGAGGGCTTAAAGATGTTTTCGATTTGGATGGCAGCTGAAACTTACCAGTAGGTATTCCCATGCCAGGTGCTGCAAGTTGTGTGTAGCAGATATCTCAATGCTCAGTTCAGGCTTAGGATTTCTGAATGTGAAGCCAACTACAGTTGCTGTGGAGAATCAGCAAGGATGGGAGTTTCCTAGGTCATACTTTCCAGTGGAATGATAGTCTCAGAGTCATGTATCACAAACCAGCCTTTTCGCCAAGTGATAACACAGTGTGGAGCTGGAGGAACACAGCAGGCCAGGCAGCATCAGAGGAGCAGGAAAGCTGACATTTCGGGTCGGGACCCTTCTTCAGGATTTCTGAAGAAGGGTCCCAACCTGAAACGTCAACTTCCCCGCTCCTCCGATGCTGCCTGGCCTGCTGTGTTCCTCCAGCTCCACACTGTGTTATCTCTGACTCCAGCATCTGCAGTTCTTACTCTCTCTGAGTGAGTTTTCGCCAAGTGAGCTAACTGGAGTTGGTGAAGAAATTAAGAAGCAAGATCTTGAAGATTGCAACCTTTGAATTACAAGCTACACATTAAAGTTGGTGATTAATTCATTCAGAAAGACTCAAATGTTATTTATAGCTAAGGGATCTGAAGGAAGTTGGTAACAGCTAATGCAGTGAGTTAAGACCTGGAATGATTTTACTGAGACTGCCTAAGAAAAAAATTCTTTATGGGATGTGGCTCGGCCAGCATTAATTGCCCTGGAGAAGGTGGTGGTGAGTTGCTTTCATGAACCAATTCAGTCCTTCGGATGGAATGTAAACTTGCCATTGTCTTACCAGACACATAGGACTGTTCTCTCATTAGAGAGAGAGAAGAGAGACAACTGATGGTGGTTTAACTGGAGAGTCACGATGCCTCAGGCAAGGGAAGAGGTTGAGAAGGTGGGACCTTCATGGTAACCTCAGCTGGTGCAGGAATTGAACCCACACTGTTGGTGTTACAATGCATTAAAAAACAGCCAACCAGACAACTGACCCTTAGGGATGTAGAGACAGAAACAGTACCTTTGGAGAGGAACATGCAGTTGGTATTGTTCCACTGCATCTGCTGCCCTTGTCCTCCAAAATTCAGAAGATGTAGTTGATGGAGCCTTGTTGAGTTACTACAGTGCATCTTGTAGATGGTACACATTGCTAACACTGTGCATCAGTGGTGAGGGGAGTGAATGTTGAAGGTGCTGAATGTGGTGCCAGTCAAGCTGCCTGCTTGTTCTAGGTACTGTAAAACATCTTGAGTGTTGTTAGAGCTGCGTCTATCTAGGCAAGTGGAGAGTACTCCATCACATTCCTGACTTTTAACGCCTTATAGATAGTGGACAGGCATTGGGGAAATGAGCAGTGAGCAGTGCTGCAGAATTCCTAGACTCTGATCTGCTCTTGTAGCCACAATTTATATGGCTCCTCCAGTTTAGTTTCTGGTCAATGGTAACTCCTGGGTTGTAAATAGTGTGGGTTTTCTTTGATACTAATGCCTTTGACTGCCAAGGGGAGATGGCTAGAACTCTCTTTTTGGAGATGGTCATTATCAGTTGCTGTTCTGGCACATTTATGTTAGTTGTTACTTATCATCTCAAGGCTAATGCTGTCCAGGCATTGCTGCACATTGGCACAGATTGCTTCAGTATTTGAGGAATTTGGAATGGTGCTGAACATTGCATGATCATCCCCACTTCTGACCTTATGATCAAGGGGA